GCATACGCGTTTTACGCATCAAGAAAACCGTCAGTCGTGTACTTCGGTTGTATAACAGGTATCCGAGTCGTCGGTCCGTTAGAATATTTCCCGCAAATCAATTACCGTACTACTTGCACCACGAGATGTTTGGGTAAACATAATATGTTTTGTGCAAACACGTGTGCGTTATTATTATTAAATTTGATTATAACGTGGTACACCAACCACCACCACCACCACCGCGGTGTGCGTTTTTATCAGTTTTCCCCACTTATTCTAATTCCCGGCATTCGATTACAACTTGATTTGCGCGGTGGTATACATCATTCAAGTATACACAGCGTTGTTCACGAAATTCATAAGAACATATTTTGTGTACATATATATCTTTTGTTGATATTACGTGGGTTTCTGTATACGATTTAATATATAGCGTTAGCTGGTTGTGTACACTTACTCGTTTTCCAAACATGATCGATACATTATAAAGTATATTATTATGTGGGTTCATCCGTGTGTTCAATCACTTTTCATAGTAATATAATATACTATAAAAATCTCAAATTATCACAGACGTGTACAATGACGGACAGTGCTAATTATGTTATTTTTTCCCCGGTTAACTCGTTTACATGTTTTTTGAATTATTGTTATTATTGCTTATTACTGTTAAATTAAAAAAAAAAAAAACACCAAACGTTACGTGTCTCCCGTGAGTTTTTGTAATCTTTTGTATGTTGAATTCACAGAAATGTTGTTTGAAAAATAAGTAGTCTTTCGGCGATATCTTTAATTTAATCTTGTTAATTAGTTGTATGTTTCGTACGGGATTACGCGAATATAAGTTGACAGTGTAATGAATCTCTCAGTATTTATTAGAACCAATTAGTACAACATCAAACATTTAACTTTTTATTTCAATTCCTTTGTTTCCGAATGGATTTTGTTTTTGAGCAAAAAAGTTGGCGCGAATGCAGTCTTATTATATTATTTCAATTATTACAATTTTTTTCTCCATGCATGTATTTTCCGATGGTAAAATCAGATTTAGTCAACTTACTTTGATACACAAAAATTTTGATTTACAACATTAAAACAAATAAAAATAAACGAGTTTAAGTACGCAGACATAAAGTTGAAATTCTATAAAACTATGTAATCTGTACATTTCTTACTCGGTTTAAACAAATTATAATTTCATTCCGTTTTTAATTATGAATTTTTTTTTTCCGATTGAATTCAATACATTGAAATAATCCAAAAAGGTGTGATAATTTAACCGGTGCAATCGCTTTGAAACCGCGCATTGAACCGCTTATTCATTTTGCGCGGGTCGTCGTATGTTTGATTCAAGCCTTACGTTTAAGTGCGAAGATAAAATGTTTTATATATTTGCAACGTTTTACGACTGACGACGTGTGTGTGTTTACTCTAAAGCGGGTATATAACGCACGTGAAAACAACCGACCCATTTACGGTGAGATATTAATGTAGACGTCGTAGGATATACTTCTCGTAATTTTTTTGCCAGCCGAAAAAAAAAGTAGTTGCAGCAGACTGTACGGATTGTGATATGAGCGACGTTTTATTTGGCAACAGTCGCTTTTATACAGCTTTGGAAAAATTTCGTATTGCAATAACAAACATAATATTCCACGTTGTTGTTTTTTTACGCTTCAGACGGGTAGGAAAAAAAGCCAGCACAGATGGGTCGAGGCGCAGTAAGGGCAAAGCATTTTATTCATTATATTATTTTGATTTTCAAGAGAAAGCGAATAATTTTCGGCATTTAAAATTGTTACACGAACGACTCGATTCAGCGGGTTAGCTGATATCGTGGACCCGGGCACAGAAAATATTAAAAAAATATATATAAAACCGTTTATGTAAAACTAATATTTTCTGAAAACCGCGTTGAAGTTATGATTTGTATCGTTTTAACCTATGCAAATAAATCGTATTAAAGGGTTTTACGATATAATATACATGATTCTGTTAGATGTTCTCAAACAGGCCGATATGGATTTTGATTCGAATTTTCTTTTTTTTATTATAATTGTTGAGTATTTCCATTTCAATAAACTAATAACGATTCGAATACTTTGAATGTAAATAGAAATCCAATTATAATGTCTTTGTGCTACTACACAAGGTTAAAGCCTATGCATGGATTACTATGTAAGTCATGTATATTATATTATGCTCTTTATGCATGTATGATTTATATTATATATTCTTGTTAACGCATGCTTTTATATGTGAACGTTGGTGGAATCGTTGGATTTTCAATCCGGATTGAAACGTATTACACTGCGGAAAATGGTATTTTTTTCCATAAAAGGTATAAAAGCCCTAATTTTTTGCTTAATTTGAAAATTTCTTCTTCCCATAACATTAAAATTCTCTGAGAATGAATTTAAAGTTAAATATTATACTATTAAATACGTACGATAAAACATTGTATATTTTCTGATAGTATTCACGCTACACAATAGTATTGAAACAATTAAAACATATTCAGACTTGCTTAATGTCTTCGAATTATTTCCTTTTTTTATTTAGGTAACACTGTGATGACAGCTGTCATTCTATAGTCGTAATCAAACAGCGTATTAGAAAAGCTAGGTCGGCCATTATTCTAAAAAAAAGTTTTGTGTGGGCGAAATCTAGTCTTAAGCCTTTGGTGCAGAAATCAGAATATTAAAATGTTATGTGTTCTACTATTGTACACAGTAGAATCATGGATCCCTACTAATAGGGCTCTAAATAAAATAAAATGGTACATGGACATACAGCTGTATGCATAAAATAAGTTGGACAGATAGAGTACGAAAGGAAATAATTATACACCAATACAGAAGGAGAAGGAAATTGTTAAAACGGTTAAAACTACTTTGAACATGTGAGACATTCAGGTAAGTATTGTACTCTACGTAGTACGTCTAATCCTTACAAGGAAGAATAAATTAAATACGCAGCAGAGGAGACCCAGAACAACTTAGATGGACAATCTTGAACAGTTGTATAGGTCGCACAATTGTACAGATTTTTAGGGATGCTGTTATAATAGATTAGATAATTAGATAATAGATTAGAGTTAGCCAATATTACCGCTGACTACAACTTAACGGACATGGAAATAGGAGAGAGAGTGTGTCAATACAAAATTGATTAATTATATTATAGAAAAACACAAAGGTATAAACTGAAATCATTAAAGTGCAAACAAAAGAAAAACAGCAGCGTTTGTAGTCTTTACGTTGGCATCGAATGCCGAAAACGTGTGTGATTTTTTTCAGTTTATTGTTTTTTTTTGTGTTTTACGCACTTATTATTTTTTATACTTATGTTTCGGGTAGTGAGTCACTGATCAACTTGAGATTTTCAAAAAAAATCATATATTTTTTTTTTTTACTTAGCTCTGCGCGCGCCACGGCCGTGCCGATAAATATCTATTCTAAATATATTACTTTACATACATATTTTCGAAAATCAAAGGTATACTTTAAAAAAGAAAGATAAAATATTCATAGAATAACATAAAAACCAAAAGTAAATGGTTTGCCATTTATCCTGGAACATTACAATTTACACCTTAAGTAGTTGGACAAAAGCCAAACTAAATAACCGGCGTTCGTTGCTTTCTCAGTATATACTTTATTATATGTCCTCAGGACAACTTTGGAACATTGTTTGAAAACACTTTTTTATTATAAGTGAGGTGTTTCAAAAGAAACTTGATTTATTAAAGTAAAAACAGAAGTCAACAATGTTTTTTTTTGTACAACGACACGACGAAAAAAATATGCATTTTAAATTAAAGCAAACAAGCAGTCAATTATTTGGTAGGACAAGTATTATAATGTCTCTTTTTGAAATTCTTTTTTGCAAAACTGTAGTTAATGTTTATCAATAAAACAAAGTACAAACATTGGATAGGAAAATGAGAATATTCTAGGTATTTACAGTTAATATATATATAATTTTTTTATAGAACATTTTAAATCTTAGTTTTATAACGTTTAGATTTATCCATATCTTAAATTGTTTTCTGACGTTTCGAAACCATCTTCAAAGCGATTAAACTGAGTACTCCACAGCTACAGTGGAACAGTATCTTTCAAGAAAATTACCTCTGAAATTGTTTCGGAACGCCATAAAAAAATCGAAGACTAAATATACAAATTATCAAATTAAGATTTCGTGTCAAGAATGCCTCAGCACATTTACATTTTAAATCTGTTAACCAAAACTATCTAAAGAATATTTTATTATTAAGGCTACACATTTTTTTAATTTTTCACAAATTAAAAAAAGTTTATATATATATAACTATTTTTATATGTACGGTAAATTATGTTTTATACATTACAAGGCCTTCAGATTTATATTGAGAATAATATGATTAGTAAAATTTGTTGGTATAAAATCAGAAAAAGAAGCGTTCAGATAAAAATAATATTCAATCCACTGTCCTTCCGCTTACGTTTTTTTCGATAAACTGTTTAGTCAAACTTATTTATCGACGAACAGTTTGCTTAGTCAGTCGTTCTCTTTTTAATAACTAAATCAAATGTCTACCTTTGAGTTAAAGCAATATTTTTTTTTTATAAACTTTTATCATAATAATGTTTTTGTACACGAAGTTTTTAATAAAACCAATTTTTATATAAATAATTTTCCATAAAATATCGAAGATGTTGTATTTTATATTTTTCAGAGTATAACTTAATACATTGGAAAGAATAAGGGAACCCTTTAAAAATCTACTCATCTTTTATTCTTTCTAAGTATACGTTAAGTATGAATAGATAGTTTTTTTTAAATAAATTAATATATGTGCATTTTTATAGTTTCTTAGCATAGCAGCTATTAATTGTTAAGTACATTTTTATTTTAAAGCTAAATAATGTATTAATTGAAATCACTAAAAAAGAAAAGAAATAGAGCCGGGTTTGATAGTTCATATAGATTTAACGAAAGCTCATAAAACCATTCATTTATTATCCTCAACTTACCAGTGTGTAAATCGCCCCGGTAATTGCTGCATGTCTTATGTTGAGACTGTAAAAACTGTTTTTACGGCTGATATCATTATATCTGTACAGCACCGTCGTGGATTTCATCTGAAAAAAACACCAATATATTTGCACACAATTCAAAGTATTACAGTAGACATAATATATAATGTACACATATATGAAATATCATATTTTTCGATGAGTTTATAAAAAATGGATCTTTTTTCCGGAAACGCAACCCTTATGTGGATGAATATGTTATTTTAACAATAGAAATTGACATACAAATGTATGATTATAATATAATCTTTGTCAGAACGATTTTTTGTGTTATTTATTTTTTACTTAGTAGTATATTGATTATTGTAAGAGATCCGAAGTAAATATCCTTTGAATTCTTAACCAATTGAAAGTACTATAATTAGTAGGATAACAAACCATATTATGTCTCTACCTATACTTAACCTGTAGTGTCATTTAAACTTATTAATTATCGTGTAAATGTATAGAATAGGCTACAATGTAATATGATTTATACTTATAGCATAGTGTTTTGTAATGATGACAAAACTATTTTTTTGTAAAAAATGTTATCATTATCAAATATTCAACAATGATTTGTTTGTCACTTACTACACTTAAAACAACTGGACTTAATTAATTTTGATGGAATAAGTGTTTATTCTGTTATATGAAAATTTCCAATTGTACGTTATTTGAGAAAATATGATTTTTAATTTTTGATGCATTATACAAATCACACTGTACAAATATTAATAATTTTACTTATAGCATTAGTATGACTTTTGTATGTCAACTTGAACAGTTAATCGTCTGAGTTTAGGAAGTATTGAAATTAAACACAATTATACAACCGTGGACATTTTAGGCGTATACTATACTTCACCCTTTCTAAACATAAAAATACTATATTTTGTTATTATGAAAGTATAAGGGGCCTCTTAGGACTTTTTCAGAGGACTCTATATCTGTTATGAGAGTCTTTTTTTTCTTATTGCTGATATACATTTCTGAACATTTAGGTGAATTGGTCCGCCAAATTATTCGCTTGGGTAAGCAGAAACTCGGAGGGTATTGAATAGTTACGTTTTTCTTCAAGTTCTCACTCGACGTTTATTTCAAATAGTAGATCCAAAGTCGCTCTAAACTATGTTCAATTTCATTTAAACCCTCTCCTTATAAGATAAGTATTTTGTCCGCATTCTTTTTTTAAATTTATTTTCCGTAATCTTTTTGAATTCTCGTTTTTAAATTAACCAAATTTACTTTTTTTTTTATAAACATATAGGATTAAGTTTGTACCATTGCACCATCAAATACATGAAATCTATAAAAAAGTTTTATTAAAAAAAATGTTTTATTCAATGACTAAAATACGACTTTCCCTTATTCTCTAAGGCTTTATTTATTACATTATATTAATTACTGACATTTATGAAAACATCACTGGTATCAGTTACTACTGAGAATTATAAAATAGTGTTTTCATTTTATATTCCTATTAATTACCATTGCTTCGCTTGAAGTTAGTATTTTGTAGATTGTTCAATTTTTTCTAAATTAGATACTAGTAAACTTGTTTACATGCTCGTAGTTGTGTAGGTATATAGCTTATCAAGTTATTGCGTACAAAATATTATACTCAGAGCGTTAGATACTAATATGTTTTCTCGCAGTCAGCTTGTTAATTTTTTTTTTATTTCATATGGCTAGCTTGTTAATAAAAGTAACAATAACAAAACATAATAATTCTTATGGATTTTAAATTTATTATTTGAAAACGACCATTATTTTAAATGTACAGTAAGGGTAATATATAGTGTATCGACCATCGTTATAGTACAATTTTGAAAAATAAAACAGTTATTTTATATTATATAAACCAGTATTTGATCTTTTTTTTTTATAAAAATCTTACTTTACTGTATCAACTATAATTTACCCAATATATTGCCCAATTGTCGGGGCTTATATATAATACTAGAAAATAAATAAAAATGTGCTTAAAGAATTGAAAAATGATTTCTATAAATGTAATTTCTTAATATACTTTAACATTGGCTGTAGTTTGTCAGGGGATTTAAAATAAATATTGACAAGACGGAAAGAGATTAGGTCCTTCGTAATATTATATTTTATGTTATTAAAGCGAAGCTAAAGAGGATGAAAATTAATATGGAAATCACGGTAACCAAAATAATTGGATAATCTGTATGCAGTTCGTGAGTTCACAACGCGACAAGTCTATGATAATAATTATATTATGAAAATTAATTTTTGTCCTTAAGAACATTGTACTTTACGAGAAGAAGCGTAGTGGGTAAGTAAGACTTGTTCCATTTAATGATAATGCACGTTTCGTTCGCAGTATTGTGTGTGTATCTCTATATTATATATTATACAATTTTCAGTTTCCGTCGAGAAAAATGAGACTACATTTCTCTACTCGATTCATATAATAATGCTCGCCGAAAAAAAAAAAATGTTATACTTGGCCTGATGTTTTATTACTTTTGTGACATAATATCCCGCAATTTTATTTCTCGCTTTAATGCCCCAAGATACATAAATGATAAAGAATTCTGGTGGATAGGGGAGGTTTCGCAGTGTAGGAAATTAAAGCTGGTCGTTATCTGATGCGCAGTAGTATGCAAATATATTATGTTTACCAGAAGAAAAGGATAAAATCAAGATAGGGTGAAAGAGAGTATCTGCAACCGTTAGTAGTATATGGTGCGACTAAGAAGTCTTGTTATTTGAGGCGCGTTATATCTTGACTTTAAAATTCATGTTACGGTTTACAATTTTGTGCGTCAATACTCAATCTTACTACCTATCAAAATTACAAAGATTTATAAATATTTTCATTGATATAGACAATTATTATGTGACTATAATTTCAAAAATGTATCATACTATAAAACGGAACAGTGTATCAAGTTACGAAAACTATTAAGTTAAACTAAATTATAAGAAAAACAATTTTTTCCACCAAAATTTAAACATTTTATACTGATCAATATTTTGTAGCAAATGGCCATTCCGCACGCTCTTTCGATCATTTTAACAAAAGAAATAAAACTAAGTGGCCTTTATGCTGTCTAGTCACGCAAAAGTAAATATGCTCTACAATTATTACACTTCTTATTGATTGAAGGCCAACCTGTGTTGATCCTGTAAATGAATACACATTTTAACAAAAAAACTAATATTATTAGGAAAAGCAAAAAAAAACAAATTGATATTATATATTTTTTTTCATACACCTAGATCTAGTAATTACTAATTACTGTTAAATTGTATACTTAATATAACTAACACTTATTGTGGTTAGGTAACTCAACTGGAGTAATAATATGTCCAGCCTGTATATAAAATAAACGTGGTATTGGCGATTACAATTCGTAGTTGATAATAATTGATGTTAATATTTATTTTTTGTGTGTATTTTTAAATCTATAACTAGTATCCCAGTTTCCAGTAATGGGACTTATTTCCAAGGCTCTTTTGGTTTCGGAAAATATATGTAGTTGGGGCTTTGAAATGTCAATTTGTAAACATTCGTTCTGAATAGCTTCAATAACATTTTAATCTGATCGACCAATACAAATAACAACACTACTCGATTCCAATCTGGAATTATTATTAGTAGTGTTTATAAAATGCATTGGTACAATACAGTGTTAATATAATATGTATGACAATAATTTTTTTGATCATTATATACAATTAATAATAATAATAATAACTGACAACCATTATGTTATTAAATGCTGATGTTTAATTTTGTTGATAAGTTTTTATTATTGACTACATTGTACCATGATAGGAAATAAAGAAAGAAAATCGATAATAAGTATTAGCTAAACATATTATTAGATAAATGATAAGTCACGTTTCCACACAATCTGAAGTAATACCACCAGGTGATAATTCTAACTTCAATCTGTTCTCTGCAAAAGTGGTGCAAGTTTGAGTTGCTTGTTTCCCGCTAGACGACAAGAGAACTTTTACATTCTTGTAAAAATGTATACTGCATTTCTTCTTTAACCTTTTGTTTCCCAATCTTGAACTTTCGTGACTTGCACCACTTTTGTTCTCGACAGCTCAATCAACAATAATTATATTTTTAACCCAGCCCATAACATCATAAACTAAGCATAGTTTATAATTAAAACATAAAAACAAATTTATTTGGTACTAAAGAAGAAACACATTTTCTAAAAATGAATAGCAAACACAAATAGTTAAAATAATGTTTTATTAACTACACTTAAATTGATTAAGTACGTGTTGAATTTCGTTTTGGCTTTTAAAGTCAAGTTTAAATCACGAAGTATATATTATTTTTTGTCATTAACTGTTAATTTAGTAACTTAATCTGTTATAATGAAATTACATTTTTTTAAGTATAAAAATCTATTTCTAATAAAAAACTACTTACTAAATTTGATAGGGTGTAAAATTAACAAAAATGTGTCTTTTTTTTAATAAAATAATAAATGTCCTATTTAAAATAACAAAAAAAGAGTTTCGAGGTGTCCTTAATAATGTTGTTTTGTAAAAAATGTCCTCTACTTTTCTCCTTAAAATGGGCTGCGCTGACATCCTCTTAAAAGTTGTTAAATTTAATACTTTTATATTATTTGAATTTTTTTTATCAATTCAATGGTGATAAATACATTTTGAATGTTAAAAGAACGATAAGAATATTTTGTTTTTTATAGTTTTAAGTAGAAAAGTGTAGACATTATAACTCTTACTTTAATATATTCTTAAGTTAATATTATCACCTTAAAGTTAAACAAAAACTTATGGAATACTTATTTTTATTTATTGTTATTGCGCTTTATACATTTTATTAATACGATAACGGCATTTTTCTTTTTATGAAAATACTTATATTTTAGAGCAATAAATATCATACATTTTTGTATAATTTGTAACTTAAAATTAAAAAAATATATATTAACAACAAACTATTGTTAAACTATTTTAGAAACATTTTCAACTTTGTAGTTTTTAATTAAGTCTTTGATGACAAAATTAAAAATTTAACCGTCGACTTTCAAAGAACTTACATA